TACCATCACTAAATCTTAACAAAATTTATATGGGACCATCCCTGAGGTACTCCCTTTCTAACAAAAAAAGAATCATATAAATCGGACAAGGCATTATCGCTAAACATACATAAAAAATGAAGAGTTTGAGGATTTTTTCATGGACCCAATTATTAGAATTTTGACCAAATTTTTATGGGATCACCCCTAAAGTACCCCCTTTCTAACAAAATCCGAATTACTGAAATGGGACACCGTGTTAAAGAATTATTGCTGAACATACATAAAAAAAACATTGCGACGAATTGAGAACCTCCTCCTTTTTTGAAGTCGGTTAAAAATAAATAAAATTCTCTATATGTTACAAAAAACGAGCGACCGTTTCCTTACGGAAAACAATTACTCCTTTGACAACAGGTATTGAATTATATTAAAAGAAAAGGCAGCAGTGATAGAAATTAAATTTATACACCATTCCTAATCTTTTTAATTAAAAACTATTTGTTTGCACTCTTTTATAATTTTTTTAAATACATACATGTTACTGTTTACTACTAATTTTCTTTGTCATTTGATTGTCTACCCACTTTGTATTATTCCCTTATTCCTTTTAAAACCAATTATTAAAATTAAATTAAAACAGTTGTGAAGCCTCGGCGTTCCTACTCCTAAGGACTATCAGAGTTTTTGCCTAATTACTATTAAGGAATTATTTTGTTTTTTATTCTTTTCTCTTTATCATTATTTTTGCCACGGTAAAAAATTCATGCCATTTTTAGGAAAAAACGTGATTGACCATTTTCATGTTATTTGATTTATCTATGGCCTTTAGAAAAAATCCCATGCGAAGCGCACTTTATATGTAACCCTGTAAAATATATAAGCGTGGTTGTTGCTGTAAAATCTCTTTTCTTAACCTATAATAATTAGGGTCAATCCTATTGGATATCGTATTAAATAAATAACTAATGAATAAATAAAAAAGTAAATTTGGTATAGTTCGTGACCCGAAAGAAAAAGCTTGACTTTTTTTTCAAAAAACTTAGTTCTAATCAAGCTATACTCACAAACATATAAGGGGGTTGGTAAGGTATGAGTCGAGATATTTCGATTATAAATGATGGAAAAGCAATTAATTATTTATGGGTTATTTGGAAGCCTGTATCCACAATAAACGCGTGTTTTTCCTAATAAAACCCCCTGTATTGTTTAAATATGGTGTTGGATATAAAGCCATTTCTGTTTGTATGTTCCATATAGAGCTTTGTTAAAATGTAATTTTACAGGATATGTGTGTGACATAAATATTTGGAACAAAAACCAATATATTGGTTTTTGGTAAGAGTCCGGACTTTGTGATCCAAGAGCCACAGGCTATGTAAAAGGTACATAAGAGATGTGGTAATTACAACATCACTACTACACCCAAATCATCATTCATACACTCCAGGCAGATCTACTGAATCAGCTCTTCACCTAGCTGCTGGCCAGATAGAGAGATCCCTGAACACTAAAGACTTCGCCTTGGTTGTTTTCATGGACATAGAAGGTGCTTTTAATAAGACGACCTTTCCCAGGATAATAATCTGACTAAACAACAGAAATATTTTACAGATGGTTAGTGTGTAGAAGATATGAATATAAAAAGATTGATTACGAGGGGATGTCCACAGGGAGGGGTGTTATCACCTCTACTGGGAAACATGATCCTAGATACCCTCATCAGCAGCCTCAATAATGACAGTTACTATACAACAGCGTATGCAGACAACCTAGTTATTCTACAAACATGGAATTTGAAACTATTCTCTAAGAAAGAATGCAAGTAGCTCTTAAAATTGTAGAAAACTGGTGCTAGGATGTTTATTTAATTTAAAGAATTAAATATTAATTATAATGCATATGTATTATTCCCCACTTGATCATTTACTGTTGGGGTCTAATTAACAGTGCTGTTTCTAAAAGTGGCGCTAGCAAACAGAAAGAAATCCCATAAGGATAATAAATATAGCAGTTGATGCCGACGACACAAAATAAAAACATAACAAAATTAACTTAAAAAATATGCTTTAAAAAAAGTATGGTTAGGGTATTATTACTAGGTACTTTAACTAGTACTAAGTAAAACTTAGATTATTAAATTACAGAAAATCTAGATTTTCTCAAAATATCTGAGATATATTTCTGAATATATAAAAATATAGCAATTTATAGAAATTGCATCTGCTAAAGTTAAACTGGAAATTTATCATAAAAAAAGAAAAATACATTTATTGTTCTCTCTCAGATAATCATTTGATGGATTACATTCATTATTTCTCGGAAATTTCTGCTGTGATATTAAAAAAAAAAAACAAAACGCTGACTACACGAGCATCATTTACACCTAATAATTTCTCTGATAAAATGTCAGTAAATATTGACCTTTTCTGGTGTGTATCGGCAAAGTTAAATAGACATTACTGATTCAGTTCACATACATTATACATTTTTCCACGCACTATTTGGTTTTTGGATTATTATTTATGAAGTGTTCATTTTAATTATTAATAGAGTTCATTTTCATCGAGTGTTAAACATAACAAGATTGATGGGATACATTATTGAAAGTGTTCCCTTTTTCTCTCCAATTATATAATTGATATATTTATTATGTTTTATCTAAATTGTTGTATTTTTAATATAGTCCCAGGCAACACACTTTGGTATAAATCACGTATTATTTTTTTAGCTATTACCATAAGTATGAATACGGTTGATGTACTACACAATATATTCGTGAAAATGACTTATAGTTGTAGTATATTCATACGAATACACTTTGATATAAAAAAATTTTTAACATCACAGTTTTTCTGTACTATTTATTACAAATTAATCAGCAGTATATTTTACCCTCGAACAGAAATTTATTCCCAACAAATATTGTTTCAATGTATAACACAAAAAACAAGATTATAATATACAGGGTGTTAAAAAAAAGTGTCACAAAATGAAATGGTGAATAGTATGACCCAAAATAAGCAGAAAAGTCTTAATAAATATATGACCGCAAATTAACGGTTTCGGAGATACGGACCATTTTGTGTTTATAACAATTTTTTATTATTATAAAAAAACAATGATATTTATAAACAATCAATAACAACATAGAGTTAAATGATATGTTCAAAGTGCCCTCCTTCCATTTCAATGCATTGCCATTTGTACGACCGTACATAAAATGCATATCAGCTAATTCAATATTAGTGTAAACAGGCATAACGAAAATTTATAAAATTATTCACCCACCACAAAATAATAACTGCAAATAGTAACTATGAAAAAACATCGGTATACTCCGATAAGAAAAGCAAGTTTTTGAGAATGAAAAAAGATAATCAAAAAATGATACAAAACACAAAACACTCCGTATCTCTGAAACCATTCATTTGCGGACATATGTTTATAAAGACTTTTCTGCATATTTTGGCCCATACTACCCCCCGTTTTATTTTGTGACACTTTTTTTTAACACCCTGTATTTGATGCTTTAGTTGGATTTATCAATAATATTCAATAGTATATTATTAAACGAGCAATTTATGGTAGCCATTATTCACGCAGGGTGACGTTTGCGTCCCGAGCCGTAGGCGAGGGGCGCAAGTCATCCGAGTGAATAATGGCCATAAATTGCGAGTCTAATACTATACTTTGTCCTCGACCATTATGGTTTCTTTATTAAATAAAAGTTAAGTGTAGAATGGAAAGTTTTTATTAAACATAGGTAACTAACTGTTGTTTTTTCGACTTTTCGATTTTTCGTTATTATCGATTTTTCGATTTGTCAATGTTTTTTGATTTTTCTATTTTTTTTTATTTTTCGATTTTTTTTCGATTTTTCTTTTTTTTTTTCGATTTTTCGATTTTTTTTTTCGATTTTTTTCGTTTTTTTTTTCCATTTTTCGATTTTTTTTCGATTTTTCGATTTTTTTTCGAGTTTTCGATTTTTTTTCGAGTTTTCGATTTTTTTTTCGATTTTTCGATTTTTTTCGATTTTTTTCCATTTTTCGATTTTTCGATTTTTTTTCGATTTTTCGATTTTTGATTTTCGATTTTTCGTTTTTTTTTTTTTTTTTTCGATTTTTCAATTTTTTTCGATTTTTCGATTTTTCGATTTTTTGATTTTTCGATTTTTCGATTTTTCGATTTTTCGATTTTTCGATTTTTCGATTTTTCGATTTTTCGATTTTTCGATTTTTCGATTTTTCGATTTTTCGATTTTTCGATTTTTCGATTTTTCGATTTTTCGATTTTTCGATTTTTCGATTTTTCGATTTTTCGATTTTTCGATTTTTCGATTTTTCGATTTTTCAATTTTTCGATTCTTCGATTTTTCGATTTTTCGATTTTTCGATTTTTCGATTTTTCGATTTTTCGATTTTTCGATTTTTCGATTTTTCGATTTTTCGATTTTTCGATTTTTCGATTTTTCGATTTTTCGATTTTTCGATTTTTCGATTTTTCGATTTTTCGATTTTTCGATTTTTCGATTTTTCGATTTTTCGATTTTTCGATTTTTCGATTTTTCGATTTTTTTATTTTTTGATTTTTGATTTATTGATTTTTTGATTTTTCGATCTAGAAAATATCGTTATGGAAAGTATCGCCTATCTTTAGTTATCTACCGGAATGTGCCAGAATTACAAAAGCGTGAATTATCATAATTCACTCCGTGATATATGGGTACCATATGCTTTTAGTTAGGAGGTAGAATATTGATTCATTATTAAGTGGTCGTGGACAAAAATTTTACACTCAAATTTTATTACTCTCATGAAATTCTGTGGAAAAATTATGATATAATTCAATTCCAACTCACTCTCTCTCTCTCTTGCACATACACTCCAATGTCTACTTTTCCAATGAGCATCTATTTCTTGCAGGTTATTTCTAAATTGTCGTAATTTACATATATTTTAATAAAACCTTGTATAATGATGGCGAACTATTTTGTATAAAGTATAAATAATGTCTCTTACCACAAGGGTATTTCCCAAAGCGCCCATCAGTATAAGAGAACAATAAAGTGCGATAAGGGTCGAATACGCTGGCTCATCGATCCCTTTATTCTTGATGTATCTCTCCATTAATTTGGGATCACCGTCGCTGTAATTGTAAAAGTCGTAACTTGAATTCGAGGTATCATCAATCATCAAGTAATTATGCTCCATTTTAGTAAAAGCGTATTTATTAAATATTTATTAAATTTAAATTGCGAGCTGACAAGATTAAAAAATTAATCGTTCTTGAACCGTCTATGGCGCTCGTAGATTGGTTTAAGTTTCGTCCATTTTCAGTATCTGAAATAAAAGAAAGAACATTTTATTGTTTGTAACAACCTATTGTAAGTAGAGATTATTATTTATAGAAAAAATAATAAATTAATTAATATAACGCAATGTAATTCATAAGAATTTCTACATCAATAGATAAAAAGGAGTTTGAGTACAATCACCTACCAATAAACTGGTGTACCACAAAGCCGGAGGGCTGTCCGTGGTATAAGTTAGAACGTAGTAATTATTACTGTGTATTGTCTTAATATTATTTATATATTTATATTGTTATCACACAAATTAACAGTAATATTATTTTTGCAACTTATTTGCTATATAATAGAATACAATAATATAAATAATAAATATGAAATCAACAATTTGATAAATAATGTAAAATAACATAATAGTAAAATAACATAATAGTAAAATAACATAATAGGGAAATAATACAATAGGAAAATAACATATTAGTTAACAAATTGAAAAAAGTGGGAAATTAATTGTCTATTATTAGATGTTAAAAAAAACTTAACTGATTTCTTAAAATGGTTTGACGTGTACGAATTTTTACAATGTTCTGGTAAAAAATTATAAAAACGGGGTGCTAAAAACTTAAAGTTTCTTTGGCCAATTGTTTTTTGTGTAGTTGGAACTTGAAGATAATTATTTTTCTTAGCTCTGGTAGTATAGAGATGAGATATTTCATTAAAATTTTGTTTGTGTTTAAATAAAAAAATTAGAGTTTTAAGAAAAAATGTCTGACGAATATCCAACACTAATGCGTCTCGAAAAAGCTGGTCAGAAGGGTAAGTTTTTTCTTTTCCTAATATTATTTTTAAAAAATATTTCTGAAGCGTTTGTAATTTTTCTAGGTATACATCTACAGTTCCGCCCCAAGCCAAAATTCCATATGATAATCTAGATGCTACAAGTGAATAGTATAACATTTTTAAATATGGTAAATCTAGAACATTCGACAAATATTTAAATCGTCCCAGAAAGGATCTTAATGTTTTAGTGACGTTATTTATATGGTAATCCCATCGTAAGTGACAATCTATCGTTATACCAAGGTATTTTATATCTTTAGTAAGTTTAATTTTTATGGTTTTTTTGGTATGTTCATTATATATTTTTAATTCATTGTAGGTAGGCATTCCATTTTTGTAACTGCAAACAGGTAGAAACATCGTTTTCTCATAATTAATTGTTAAAAGATGAAAATTAAACCAATCAATAATAGTTTTCATATCGTCTTCTATTTTCTGTTTCAGATCAGACCAAGTCTCAGCAGTGTAAAATAGTACCGTATCATCGGCAAAACTGTATATGGTTCCAGTAACGCTTAAGGCAAGTAAGTTATTCAAATATAGGATAAAAAGAATCGGCCCTAGCACTGTCCCTTGCGGAACTCCACATTTCACAACTTGCGCTGAGCTTATGCAATCATCTATTTTTACATGTTGTGTACGATTTTGAAGATAAGATTTAAACATTTTTAGAGCTGTTCCACGTATTCCTGAATCCTCCAATGCATCCAATAACTGACTGTGATCTACAGTATCGAACGCCTTTGCAAGATCCAAGAATACTCCAATTGCCGGTTTCGTATGTTCAACAGCATCATACATTTTTGATATTAATGCAGATATAGCATCTTCTGTTGATTTTCCCGTCTGAAAACCAAACTGGTTGGGTGACAAAATTTTTTCGCGTGGGTTGGGTAATTTATTAAGAGGAGTATTTACTTGGCTTTAGAGCAGAGCATGCAAGGGTTTCGTAGTACCCCACTTTTAAAGTTTATTTTTGACATATTTTAAAAGAAAAAAATATGTGCGTGTAGGTAAAGGTTCAATCTGTGCTCCTCTGGAAACACTTTTTCAAAATTTCAATTTGTTTTTCTAAAAAAAAAACACAAAACTCGACTTTTTTTATCCATTTTCTCAATTTTTTTAGAAAAAACTAAATTAAATTTTGAAAAAGTGGTTCCAGAAGAGCATAGAATTAACCTTTATCTACACGTGCATATTTTTTTCTTTTAAAAATACTTAAAAATAAACTTTAAAAGTGTGGTACTACGAAACCCTTACATTGCAAGATTTTTCGTCTTTCAAGTGGTGCCTCTGTTAGATTTTTAAGAAATTAATATTTGTGAATGAAAACAATTTACAAAATATTTTACTGATGTTTTACGAGGGATAATTAAAGTTTACGTATTTGTAGGTACACCTCATTGTTTTACGTAAATCATTTCTGTAATACTAATATAGACATATTTATATAATATGCAATGGGTTTCATAGTACACCAATTTTACGGATTATTTTTTATTTTTTGAAAAATTATGTAAGTACAGATAAAGGAGTCACTTTTTGAACATTTGAATCGGTTTATTTTGAGAAAATGTAAGAAGATATCTTTCTATCGAAAAAAAAAAAAAAACCAACTAAAAATGCTAGAAGAGAACAATATATGTTTTTAATTTTTACAGGAACATTTATTTTTCTCGATAAAAATTAAAAAATACGTTGAAAGCTTTTTCGTCTAGAAGGCGACACCAACAAAATATATATCCTTTTCTACTGTTTACAAGTGATAAACGTACGCAAGTGATTTGAATTTATTTTGTTTTATGTCTGTACACTTTGTTATTTTTACATACAGTAATTTCGCTCAATTATTTTAAATTAATTTTATCATTTGTTTATTAAAAAAATATATCCGAAATTAAAAGGTATACAATGAGATTTGAATTATAAATTACCTTTTATATTGTACGGGAATTTTTTTTAATGAATACATCTTCGAGTTAAGAATAATAAATTCCAGCATGTTAACAACTCTTTAAGCTGTTAAAGTAATGTATATTTTTTCGAACTTAGTAAATCATTTTTTTTTGCTTTTGAGCGTGGCTTTGATCTCTCACACTCTATGATGCGCGTTGCTAAAGAAGATTTTCTAAAAAGTTTGATAATGTCTATAGATGAGAAAAAAATGAATGTGACAAGAGATCAAGCTGATTGTGGATTGTAGCAAAATGAAAGACGAAAACGAGTCACTGTTTCAAAATTTGGAGACATTTGTAAAAAAAGGAAAGGCATTTTTTAAACAATCTCATAAAAACTTTTATTTTTTACTAAAGCCTTTTAATATGACATGGACAATAAATCCAGTGCAAAATAAGATTTGGAAATTTATTAGCAAGAAAAAGTTTTTATATGTGGACTTTTATTGATTCCGAATTTGTTTATGTTCCTGCAGTCCAGATGAAATTTAGAACAAAAAACTCTATGATAGAGTTAAAACCACAATCGGTACTTTCAAATTTAGGGCTAGCTGCACATTACACAAATTAATTTTTGCATTTTGTGCGTTTGGACTTCTCGAGAAATAAAAGTGGAGGAAATTTCTCATAATGACAGCTTTTGGGAAGGAAAGGTGCAAAATAAAATTCAAAATTATTATATGCAATATGCCTTATCAGAACAAGGTGACAGCAGAGCTAATAGAGACATGGAAGTACGGGATAGAATGCCAAATAAATGGTGAGTTTAACAGTACGGGTTTTTTATAAATTTGTTCTAGAAGCTGTACCTCATTATAACAGATTATTCAAACAATAAAATAATTTTTGTTAAAATATAAATAATAATAATATGCTGAAACATTATATCTGATCGCTACATATTATAAAACCAGAGATACCTTATCATTTAACCAACTCACACATGGCTACTCCAAGTTTAAATATTATAAATCCGCTTGAATATCAAAAATAACAGGTATAAAAAATATTTTTTAAAAACCTACTTTATTTAAAAATATAAAATGTCATGAGACCGTTTATTGTTTGTTTACATTCGCCTCCTGTTTTTGTTACTTTGACTTTTTGTATCGAGGACATATTATTATGTGATATAGAAGGGAATGTATTGCTAAACTATGGACGCTTTTCTACTCTTAATCAATTATTATTAGTAGAGTGTATGTATTAAAATATTCGCTCTAGAAAACGATTTACCCCTCTTTGTCACAAGCTGAATTTTTCAGAGATAAAAGGTCATGATAAGGTTACCCTTATTCCGGAGGTAACACAAAATTAGACTGTGCAGAAGGGCACTATCATCAAAAATCCAGATACTGATACCGCCGAATAAAAAAAAAATATTTATTTTTTGGTCCAATGCACAATAAAATCTTTGTAAGGAGTAATTTTTTATACTTATTTAAAAAAAATTTCAGCCCTTCAAAAATTTGTTTAAAAAGTAATTTTTTTAAATATAATTTTATCATTTAACAAAAAGGAAGGCCCTAATGAAAAACGTAGTATAGCTCTGTTTCTCTCTACGTGTCGGCTGATGCATCACATTATTGATATGCTCAAATTTTTTTCATTTTTTTATTATAAAACTTTTCGTTAGGTGCCAATGGACAAAGTGTCATATTGTCTGTTTTTACTAAAAAATTAATAACTGTGTTACATATTAAAGTTCCTAATAAATTGGGAAGAAATATAGACATTTTTTAGGTTTTTATTACATCTACATTCATCCTTTTATAGCTGAATGCCTGAATATATTTGGGTAAGTTGGGTAAGTTTTCGTTAAACATTTTAATTACGGATTTGATGTTGCAAGAAGCAAAGACACAAATGATATTAAAATATGACTTCTTAATCCTTGCATGGTCAACACTTTCTTCACAATATTTTATTAGCAAAGGATATGGACAGAAGCATTAGGTAATTATGCAGAAATATTTAAGTTTGATCTGACAGCCTTCTCCCATGTCTCTAACAGTAAATGGGTATCTCGGCACCTCTACAAATAAGAGTTTATTGGGAAATATTTTAGAGCAATATGACCCACAAAGACTTACCTGCACCTAGGTGATCTTGCAAAACTTGTCACATTTTTGATGGGATAGCAATCATTTAAAGAATATGCTAATATATTTGTAAAGATTATTTTTAAAAATAAATTTAATGCTCAAAGGATAGATGTGGTATTTAATCAGAAAGAAAA